AGGAGGGAAGCTTGGCTTCCTCCATTGCCCGGGCAGCCAAGCTTCCTGCTTGCTCCAGCTCCGTGGCTGCTGGCCACTATCTTGGTTGGGTTAATTTGCATATAGTCGCTCTGATTGGCTGGTGGGCATGGCTTAGGGCATAGCAAAGGTACAATTAGCATCTTTGTCTTTTATTAGTGTAGATATACCGAGGACTCTTATCTCAATCACTGTTCCTAACTTCTCTTGACTGTCAGACCTCTAATTCTAACTATATATTAGACTTGTCCACTTGGCTATTTCATAAACTGTTTAAAGTGAGTATGTCTAAAATAGTAGCATTATCTCCATCTCTCTCCTTCCACTCTAAAAACTAAGAACAAACAAACACAACATGCATCCTGTTGCTCAAGCCAGAAACTTGGAATCATTTTGGCTAATTTTCTACCCTTCACTCTTCAGATTAAATCAATCACCAAGAGCTGCCATTTTTACCTCCCACATCCATTGGATTCATCTACTTTTTTCCAACTTTCCTGCTACCACTCTAATTTAATATAATGTTTTCTTCTACTTGGACTACTACAAGAGTGTCTAATTGGTTTTACTTCCTAAAGTCTTGCTCCCATCCAGAGTAACTGTCACTCTGTAGTGAGTGTTTCTTCTACAGTGCATGTTAAGTCATATCTTTTCTGTTTAGAGTAATTTAATGGATTTTTATTGTCCATAGATTAAAATCTAAACTTCTTAACATGATTTCATAAGGCCCATTAAGTCCTAGGCTCTACCCATCTTGTTAGCCTTATTTCTTAGTCCTCCTATCACCAAATTCTGTGTTATTCAGCTATATCGAACTACTTTTGACTTTTTTATAAAACTTCTTTTGATACAAAATCCCATTTCATTCAAGGAATATCATTACTAGAAATGATCCCCTTAGCCTTGAAATAGTTCAGCATTACACAGTGTATTTTGTTCTTTGATAGTGGCTTTTTTGTTCTCGTTTTACATTTGGCTACTGTCCCATATTCTTGGAAGCATTAAGATTTCTTCTAATTATTTTTGCAGGGTTGATTACCTTAATGTACTCTGAGTCTTTCCATCTCTGGGCAGAGGGCTATAGAATTGAACTAATATGTCTTTAGATACTTGGCCCATGTGAGGTTCTTTTTGTTCTTTACCTCACTCTGGAAAAAAAACAACAGATTAATTCTGCTTTATTAACTTTTCATGTATCTGATTTCATTGTGCAATGATAGATATTCTAAGTAAGGAAGAAATTCCAAATGCACAAACCTTATCTCTTCAAGTATTTTTATTAAAAATTTTTAATATCCACATTATTGAAGGTGTCCTCTCTTTTCCCCCCTTTTTCCCACTCTACCCATCCCCAGCTCCGCCTCCCTTGGCCTTCACCAAACTACTGTCCTTGTCCATAGGGTATGCATATGTGTTCTTTAGCTAGTCCCTTCATCTTCTTTATCCACTCACCCCCACTCCCATCCCCTTGGACACCAGCCAGTTTGTTCCATGTGTCCATGCTTCCAGTTCCATTGTATTCATCAGTTTATTTTGTTAATTAGATTCCACATATTAGTGAGATCATATGGTATTTGTCTTTCTCTGACTGGCTTATTCTGCTTAGCATAGTGCTCTTGAGGTCCATCCATATTGTCACAAAGGATAAGAATTTTTTTGTTTTGTTTTGTTGTGTTTTTACAGCCGAGTAGTATTCCATTGTGTTACTGTACACATTTTTATCCACTCATCTTCCAATGGGTACTTAGGTTGTTTCCAGATGGTGGCTATTGTAAGTAATGCTATTATAAACATAGGGATGCAGATATTCTTTCTGATTGATGTTTCAGGATTCTTAGGATATATTCCCAGAAGTAGGATTGCTATGTCAAAAGGCAGTTCCATTTTTTAGTTATTTTAGGAAACTCCATACTATTTTCCGCATTGGCTGTACCAAACGGCATTCCCGCCAACAGTGCAAAAGGGTTCCCTTTTCTTCACATCCTTGCCAGCGCTTGTTGTTTGTTGATTTATTGATGGTAGCCATTCTGGCAGGTGTGAGGTGATACCTCAATGTTGTTTTAATTTGCATCTTGCTGATGATTAGGGACCTTAAGCATTTTTCATGTCTATTGGCCATCTGTAGGTTCTCTTTGGAGACTTTATTTTTATTTATAGTTTTCACATTGCATTATGTTAATTTAAAGCAAGTATTTAAATAATTCTTACTATGCACCTAGCATGAGTCTAAGTCCTTTACATACGGTGACTTATTTTTTGTGACAGATCTACTAGCTATTTGTGGCTGTTATACCTGTTTTAGAGATGGAATATGGAAGCATGGAGAAGTCAAGTAACTTGCCAAAGCTTACCCAGCTAGAAAGTCACAGAGCCAGGACTGAACCCCAGACAACCTGGGTCTTAGAGTCCTTGTTACCAACTGCAACAATATATTGCTTTTCATGCATTTGGTCACTTTTATTTAAGAACTAGGCACATACCCATTTCTTTTATGTACATGAACATTTAGGTTCATATATTAATCCCTCAATCTCTGAATACTTAATATCCCAGCCACAGACTGACTGGATGGCACTTGCTAAAATGGGGCAGGTCCAATTTTCTTATAAGACCTGAAGGAATAAAAAATGCATTTCCCTTTTGAAGTAGAAATGTAGCATTTGTGACACAGGCCACGGATGGACATTTGAAGCCAGGATGAAGAATACTTGGTAGGTAGTGCTATGACTTCCTATTGCATCACGTCACAAGGCAAAGTCATCTCAGTATTACTGATGCTAAATAGAATCTCTTGGTTAAGGTGATGAATATCAGGACTCTCCATTGTAAGAATACCAGCCACCAGGATTGATTTAGATATTTGAGCTGGTGGCTATGGGAGTGGGGTAGAGAGATAAGAGATAGTCAGGAAGAGATTTGCACAAAATCAATTGAACTCCAACAGACTTTATGTAATGTGGATTCAGAATATTGGTTGACTGAGCCAGCTATGGGCTATCACCTGGAAGGGTGTCTGTATATATCTCTTTAGCATCTTGATCTCAGTTAGTTCTTCACTACAGTTCCCTTCTCTCCCCCACTTCCCAATGAATCTGTATCACTTTTAGCACTCTGTCCACTAAACCAGTCAATCTTTCTACTCTTCACTGGGTTTCAATGGCTCTCTGACCAAAGCTTTCTTTATGGCTTTTGGTTGATGGTGTGCCAATATTTTGTTACTATTTAAACTTAAATAATGCATTCAAGTACATAAACTATTATTTTTAAAAAAGAAAAAAAAACAAATTGTGAATACTTCTAGATATTAAGCTTGGCAATTTTAATAAGTATTTAATATATGAATAATAAGACAACATACCTATGAAGTTATTTCAATTTTAAAGATGGAAAACTTACTAGAGGTGCTATATGACTTGCTTAGGGTCACACAACTGATAAATTCAAATGCATGTCTCCAGATTCTTTAAGCTTAGTTCTCTTTTTCCCTCCATGAGTATCTATGTTATCATTTGATTATCTCAGAAACCCTGTAAGCAGGGAAAGATTACTTACCTTGTTTTACCTTTTTCCCTTACTCTATCGCAACATGTAGAACAGTAATAGGTACATAGTTGATGCTTAATAAAGATGCATTGAATGATCAATTGAATTTAATTAAGTTTATGAATTAAGGGGGAAACTGGGTGCTCAAAATGAATTTTCTGGGATTATTAGCTAGAGGATGACAGTTTAGAGTAAAACTTTTCAATTCAGATGTTTCTACTATTCTGTATCTTTCTCAGTGTCTTTTTCAGAACAGGAACCTTTCTCACTGCTAGGGATAAATATTGGTGGGGATACTATTGAGTGTTTTGTAAGACTCCTCAAATGTTATTCTATGTCTTTTATAGCCCTGATTAACTGGATGCTAGGAATAATTATTATCTACTAGTATCTATTAATTGCAACCTTTGGATCCAAAGTAAGAATGGGGAAAGCAGACCTAAGGAGATACATCACTGTAACTTCCTTAACTGGTCTATTCAAAATAAATCACAAGGATTTATGACTTTTGGTTTATTACTTAATTTCACATCATGCTTCTTGTCAACTGCCATTTCTTCTACAATTTTCTGTTTTCCCTGAACTATTTAGGACCTTTATTTCTAGTCCTATCAAACCACAATAAGCTCCTCAGGAGGCCCTGATTAGGTGGTTAGTATAGTGACTAGTGCTTTGAAAGGCTTACAAAAGACATCCAAGATGGGGAAGTAGGAGGTAGCTAAGCGTTACTAGAAAACCAGAGAACTTAGATTACAGTCCTATCTCTGCCTCTCACCAGCAGTATGTCTGTGGGCAAATTTGGTGTCCTCTCTGAGTTTATTTCCTTATGTATAAAATGAGAGATTTTAGGGAATCTCTTAAGAGTTCTGATAACTTTAACATTTAACAGATTACTATTGCTTTGTTGCCCTATCTCCATAGGCGGGATGTAAAAAGACTAGATGCAATTCAAAGGTTTGTCTGGCTCTGTTGTTCTGTGTACTGTGTTTCTCTAGACTAGAAAAAGGAGAGTTCTTAGTTTAAAAGTTTCCCTTGTTTTATTTTGAGTTCCTTTCATTTTATGTGACAAAATTTGCTGAATCACCTTTATGCCAGGTACTATTTCTAGGGACATTCTGTCCAGCATTTCTCCTTGTGTTTCTCTACTGCGAGTTGGGGCTGGATCATTTGTTTGGTAAAGCTCATGCCAGTGCTGGAATAAGAGTACAAGTATAGTGACCACTGTCTGCCCCCTGCATAGGTAATCATTGTGACAAATAGGAAGTGCTTATTGGGTTGGTTAAAATACAAGACTATTTAATTAACCCAGTCTATTGATTGAAATCTTCTTGAATTAAAGTGTTTAGACATATAATTGTTTTCTATTAAGAACCATTCTTTTTCGTTTGTTTTTCCTTCTACTGCCCCAGACTCTCTCCCAAACATGCCCCAGATATTCCCGATGACAGCACTGAAAACATCACTATCTTCACCAGAATCTTGGATCGTCTTCTGGATGGCTACGACAATCGGCTGCGACCTGGTCTTGGAGGTCAGTTACTATTTTAAGATCTTCTGCTTGGCTGTGTTCATCAAAAAAGGTT